CTTTTTACAAGAAAGGGCGACATTTTTTTTCACTTTTTCTATTTTAAAATTGATTTTAAAATTTTTCCGATACTCAGTCATGCTCTGATAATCATGTTTTATTTGCTTTAATAATCAATTACGCTCGTTTTTGCTCACTTTTTTTGCATTTAACATAAGTTTTTATTGTTTCTTAAACTTTAAACTTATAATGTTTAAGTATATTTCAATATATATTCTATTTTTAGCTGAAATAGCTGCAAAGCTTTGTTGGCTTCCTTGGCGAGATACTTTAGCGCCAAGGAACAGTTGAGTAAACTTTCGGTTTTGTTTTAGTTCTCTTTAAATGTCGATATCATTTCTGTATATTCTGAAGATTTTGTATATCTTTACCTCTTGATTACTAAAACCCAATATTTATCTTGTTCTAAAATGTTTCCTTTAAATATATATATTTAAATAAAAAATATGGTACATAAGAAGTTGTGTTTTTTAAATTACATAGGAATGCNTTAGTATAAGAATTAATGTCCGATGGCCCATTGACTTGAAAAAATATTCTATACATATGAAATTGACAGTGGGCTGGGGTACCCGACTCTCCCCTAAGTTTTTGATGACGTGAAAATCATTTAGACAAATATTTGTATTTAGTATGTGAAAAATAATATTACTCAAACGAATAATACGGTGAAGTGTCCCACAACAGCCAGTTTGTGGACCAGGGGGGTCATTTGGGGATAAGGCTAAATAATTTCATAACGTCAGGAGTGTGGCAATGTTGTCAGCACTACGCACAGACCGCCTTCACTTTCAGGACAAGCTGGTACTCATCCACCTGAAGCTGGGTGGGATTTAAGCTCCACTGAGGATCGAACCCCAGCTTTTCGCAATGACAGCCCAGTGCCTCAACGACTGAACCATCGCGGCTTGAATAATATGGTAATAATTAAAATTATACCTCATCGTAAATTTAACATATTTAACAATTTAACACGCCATAGTCTTTCCATGTTAAAAAAGGTGGTAACCACTTAATGCTTTCAAGACATAACTCTTTATTTATACATTTATCAGATAACACCTGGAGGTCACTAAATAATGTGGTTACCATATATCAAGATATAAGAAGTCATTTCATTAGAGATAATTTAGAGTGATAGAGTGATGGCAATGGTGAGTGAGAGTTCCATCTAGAGTGCAAAGAGATGATTTATCAAAATTGAACATTTAAGGTCTTTGATTGAACAAGTGAAAAGTACATAAATTTCAAAACCAATTTTATTTAACACATTTGAAAAGTTAGTTTTTAATAAAATGCAAAATGGATTCCACGCATCGATCGCAATAGTTTCCTAGTTCTAGAACAGTGGTTACCAACTGGCGGCCAGCAAAGCCTTTTTTTGTGTCCAGCGAACTAAAATATATTAGTTGTCGTTTTTTTGCGGACAATTTTCGTAAAAAATCTATATGGGTTTAAAATACTTTTCTTTCGTTTAAAAAAACCTAATTTCTTCATTTCTGTGAAATTTAACAAACCAACGGTGCAAAAAATTTATTTCTCAGGTTTTTTATCCAAGAAAATATTTATTCAAACACAAAAATAATCTTGTACGTAGCACTTTTTTCTTTCGTTTTTTTTTTGTATTTTGTGAATATAATTTAGTATGTGCGTTTCAGAAATTTTCTCGAAGAAATTCTCCCATTTAACTTCTTGAAACCACTTTTAGACGAAAGTATTCACATTTGTAAATTTTAAAACGCATAAAAGAGGGAATGACTATCACGTTTTATTTAAATTCCTTAAATTGAATATCACATGAGCGGAAAAGGAAAAAAAAATTTAATTTCAGATGCTCGGGAATTTTTTTTTGCCGTAATTCCTAATAAGTCGAAAAAAATGTTAATTGTTAATGTACAGCAATATTTAATGTTCTTTTAAACATAAAATTTTTCCCATGTAAAATTTTGATAAAGTTGTGGCCCGCTATTTTACTGATGTTTTTAATTGCGGCCCCCGGCCCCATGTAAGTTGGAAACCCCTGTTCTAGAATATTCCCTAAAGAATATTTTTGCAGCAAGATGTTTATAAATTTGAGAGCGTGTGTATGAGATATTGATGACTAGATCTTAAAATGATTTTGAACAATTTCAATATTTTGTACAAATATAATGTGTTAAATTTATTTCATTAACTGTAATGTTTATTATGAAATGCATTTTTGAATAAAATATCTCTAACTCTAATCGTGCATGGATAAATTAAAATTAATATTTGCTTGGTAATAATAAGATTATTATTTTTGTAGGATTCAGGGAAATTTTTGTGGAATATAAGTGGGGATGTAGTGGGGGCAGAATGCTCCCGCACGACGTCTCGGGACTTTAAATAGAGTATATAGATTTTTAAAATATTTGTCAAAAATGATGTAAAAACAGTATGCACATTAGGGATTTTAAAAAATATATAGGTTATAGTTAGTCTATGTAAAGAACTCCTCTAGCCATTTGCCTGAATTGGTGGCTGTGGGTTACGAAGTCAATTTTTAAGTATATAAAATTCTTGGTCATTATTTAAGACAGATTTTGACTCGGGCCGGAGAGAGAAAGAAGCTCCCGTCTTTGAAATGCGTTATTTCTCGTTTCCATAGCAGCAGACGGCCGTAGACTTCGTGGCGAGGGGAGTTTTTTCTATAGACAAACTTCAAGTTTCATTATGGATCTTGAATGTGTTTTTAATAAATACTGTTGAACTCTTCCGCGTCTTCAGTAGTGATTCACGGACTCTCTATTGCGTTTGGAAATCTTCCTAGTTAATATATTAACTTGAAACCCTAAATGTTAGATCTGAAAATTTAAATTTTCTGTTAGTAGCCAGAGGCCGGTAGACTCTAATAACTTAGTAGCCACTTTCTCCTCAAAACTAATGAGTGAGTGACAAATATCGATAGGTCCTTTTTTTTAAATATTTACATTTTACGCTTTTTTTTGTTGCTTGAATTAAATTATACTTTAAAAAAATCATATTAGAAATAATCTACTGCTATAAAATGTTAATTCAACAATAAAAATAAAATGAATATGGGACAAAATTTAGTTAAACATGCTGACCTTAAAGAACTTTATTTAAAAATATTTGGGGAGGCAAAATACATTTAATGTATACCTTACAATTTTGAAATATGTGAATTGTTGAATAAGACGATGAATCTTTCCTTCACAAATTGATGGATTCTGAAGGAACAAAACTTTGAATGGAACACTTTAATGAAAATTCTGTTTTACAGAGTCTTTTTGCTTTGATGTACTTTTATGATAAAGCAATTTTTGATAAAAAATACAATATGAAAAGTGACCAATTGCTTATGTGATGTAAGTCGCCACTTTTTTTTTTGTTGACTCGCCATGCGGCGAGTAGTTATTTTCATGTCTACAAAACGTTTATATTTCTTTTACTTGTTTACAGGAATTCTAAAAGTTTATATTGAGAGTATAGTTATTACCGAACTGCGTAAGTATTTGGTTATGAGAAAATTTTTAGAATTTATATTCCAATTATGGAATTTAATCGTTTTCCAGAATTATCCACCCTTATTATCCTATTAATTGGAAAGAAAAACATGCTAATAACTTAAAATAGAATCCCTCTTACGTCTCATTCCATCCATTCCCGGTGAAGGGTGTCCCGGGGTAAAGTTTTTTAGCACTACAAAAGGAGATACCCCCCCCCCTAAACAATACATTAAAACTACCCCACTGACTTGAACTTTCTTTAATCTAAAACGGCAGCGAAAAGATTAAAAGTTTTACTTAGTTTTAAGTAAAACTATAAAAGGAAAAAAGGAAGTACATTTTAAAAGGAAGTGCATTTTGCATGACTTTAGCTTAACTTTTCCAACGCTAATGGAGTTATGTAAAATCGAAATCCATTTAATAATTGTTGTAAATAACATGATGAGAATAAAAAAGCAAACCAAATTGTAGACATTAATTTCTTCCGTTTTTTTTTTCTTTTTCTTTTAACGAAGAATTTTCACAAGTATTTAAGGTAACAGTAAATTTATTCTTTACTAGTTCATTTTCGATTTAATGATATAGGTTTTATAACAAATTTGAGCCTAGAGTTCATAACTTTTTGTTAAAAAAATTAGGTCAATTGATTGAATTCTTCGAAAGGCAACAAACAAAACGCAGTCTTAATGACATGAAAACTTTATTAATTTCAAAAACATAGGAAGGTGGCAAAAGTCGATATATTTGGAGCACATTTGATGCCTTGGTGATTGAGTTTGGAGCAACTGAGCACAATATGGCAATATCCCCCAGGATAATCCGGAACCACCGCCCTTAATGCATACTTTTAGAATCTTTGTTAAAAACTAAGAAAAAATATGCATTGAGTGGGTTACAAATTATTAATATTTAAGTGGAAAAAAAACAAATAATATATTATCAAAAGAAATGAAGAATCCTTATTGTAATATGTGAGATTAAAACATCAAAACCTGTAAGACTGCCAAAGAAAATAGGAAAAGGCTACTATTAGAAACAATTCTGGACAATGAAACTAGCTTAAATCTTTTTAATGCAGACTTTCTTAATAGTGATTACCCAGAATTTATTAATATTGCATTTTTCGTTTTTTATTTGTAGCCTTAATTGTGCATAAATTTGTCAAGGATTCTACAAAAATGGATTAACGTTAATTACAGAACACTCTGCATACTTTTGAAATAATAGCACAGATTTGTATGTATTAAACTGACTGAAAATTGTATTTGACTTTCAAGGATGGCTTACAAGTTTTTTATTTAGTGGCAAAGAGTGAATTAGTGTTTGCATCGCTCTGGTTAGAATAATGATGGGCTAGGCAAAAATAGTTCCTGGCTATTAAAATTACGTTATAGTACAACAGCTTCGAACTGCAAATTTCGTTCAGTATGGAAGATTTTAAGATCATATTTTTAGTGCTGGTCACAACGACCCCCTCGTTTGATCGATCAATACAGAAATGATCTTACCTGGATCGTGAAATGGAACAAGAACATAGTTATGAATGGCCTTTTCTCTCCTTGCCAAAATAGTACTTAAAATCCTAGCGGCACCTTCAATCACTTGCACTAAGTCATCGTACATAGATCCTGTAATATCAAACACAAAGGCTAGCGTCGATGCCCCTTGTGGAATTTCTTCTTCAAACGCTTCTTTTATGCCATAATAATTGCGCGAAAACACAGAATTGCTGAAGACGGTAAACAAAGAACACAACAAAATAAATAACACGAAATTAATCCTTTGGCTCATGATTTTATTCCACCTGCTACATTACCTGTGCAACATATTCGAACATAAAACTTATCGCCGATTCATATAAACAAATTCAGCTAAATATTTTGCATGCAGAGCTTCCACAATGTCGATGCAAAGGGAGTGGATTGTATTTCCCACATTCAAGTCATTCCGACAACCATATGACGTCAAAAGTACTTAGTAGATATAGATGAGTTACAGTTGTCATTAAAATGTTGGTTCCCTTGCCCTTTTGCCCTAAACGAGTGCACCCAACTCATTTAAGATATCATGTTTCTCATTATAACAAGCAGAGTGTGTAATTGGATGCTTGTTGGACACAGGGCAATCTTAAGTGAACGAAAACAGGATGCTGTTTGATTAAGAATCTTTTTTTTTCATCTTGTAATCTTACATTGCATAAAATCCATTAAAAAAAATCTACCAGACTGTAAATTTCTTTTCAATATTAGAGAGAAAATGGTTTATCTTTCGAGATAAAAATAGCATTTTACAATCTTCAGATGAATTTTGATTTAAAATCAAGCAAAGTCTCAAACGAAAATGGTAGGAGGCGGGTGATTCATTCATATCTGATAAAATAATTTTTCCTCCTCTCTACTTTTTTCCATCTTTTGAAAAAAAAACAGCAATTATAGAAGCTAAATAAAATGTTTTTATTTCTTTTTTTTATTTTTATTTTTTTTTACTTAGTGCCTTTTATGAATGAACTACCCAGCTGCAACTTTTCCGTTTCAGTTGGAGTATTTTTTTTCTCCTGGAGGCAGTAAAATGAAAATATCCATATTTTTTGTTCTGTAGTATCAGTATAAAAAAAGATTAAGCCTTCCACGATGAAAAAACAGTTCATAGGCATTAACGCCTGAGATTAAGCGTAAAGTATACTTGATTAAGCTAATATGGAACTTTTTATAACTCTGGCTAAAACTTAAAATGTTTAAAAAAAAATGTTGGGATAAAAAGGCTTTTCACTTTTTTCGCACATTCTTTTGTACTACTCATATGAATGACTAAATGCCCTTTTCGAACAAAATGCTATGTACTAAGATTAAGTCTACCATGATGTATAAATAATTCAAGATACGCCTGAGATTAAGAGTAAAGTACTGACTAAAGTAATAAAATATATTTAACTTTTAATAACTCTTTTGCTAAATCTTTAAATATTAAAAAAAAGTTTTGTGATAAGTTATTTGGCTTCTTTGCATACATTCTTTTGTACTACTCAGATCAATGAGTAAATGCCACCTACGGACAAAATACCATGTAAACTAATTAAATAAGTGCAGGTACAAAAATTCAAAATAATTATGTTCATCAACAAAAATGCTTGTAAAACTTTACTGTTGATTAGGTTGTTTACCTTTCTGTTTTTATGAGCTAAAATAAAATTGGTGATGGCTAAATTTCTTCCTTGGTAATTTTCTGGTAAAGTTAATGTGCAAAATAATTGTAGTGAAAAAATTTATGACTTTCACTCAGACTTTCTATTGACTTATAGATCACTTTTTTTTATATATTCAAAAAACGTTAAATTCTTCTTAACTTCAGTAAGTCAATTAGACAGATCATTTAACTGTTGATGAAAAACCTAAAGTTTTAGAAAAACATTTCTACTTTAGTTTTTGTTTTACCAAACCTTTGAAAATGACCATACAAATTGATGGCTTTGCTGTATATATATGATATTCTTCTGATCTGGCCTTTTAAAATGAAAGTGTGATTAAATTAAAGAACTATTCACTACACATTATTTGAATTTTTCTACCACTTTTTACTCTTTCAAATTTCCTTTCTTGCGAATTATAATTGCGTCACGATAAGGGCCTTCATTTGAACGTAAAATTTAAATTTTGAAGAAATATCGAAGTGTCATTATGGTTGTTTTCTGTTCGGTGGAACTTAAGAAATAAAGCAAAATCTCAGCGCATTGCTGCGAAGCGGCATTAACTGATTCATCGAATTATATAATTATATAATAAAGATTTGTATGTTAAAGGGATGAGTAGGGAAAGAAAGGTGCTACGCAGCAAAATTTGGTACGTCATATATTAATAAAATCATGTAGTTAAGACGTAAGATGAATAATAAAATACAAGTAAATAAAAATAATAAAAGTAAGAAATAAAATATTTTCAGAATTTTATACAATATTTACAAGAAAATCAAGTTAACATAAGTTCATCGTGACTTATTATTTTATAATTCAATTAAAATCATAGTTTAAACTGTAATTTACAATTAAATTTAATAAAATAATTAAGCCAAATGGCAAAGTTTAAAATGATTTAGTGTGAAAAAATTTCGAATATTAAGCCAAGGGAAATTAAAATCTATAACACTGTTAATGTGATGGCTTAATCGTTCTGGTAATTACCACTCGTATTTGAGTTAGTCATCACAAGTTAACATCTAAATCTTGTTTAACATCTTGAGTTAGTCATTTTTATATTGACGTTTTTCGTACTTCATTTTCGAAGTGGTAGAACATAAGAATTCTTGATATTATTATTGTTTAAAATGCATTACATAATTAAAAAAAAGTAGAAAAATTTATAAACCAATGTACAGTGTGACAAAAGAAAATATTTTTTGTAATATTTTTTGTTGAGGTAAGTATTATTCTGAATTACTTTTGATCTAATAATTGGATCTTCAAGTTCGAGGATTCATTCTTAAATGGTTTGAGAGGATGACCTCAAATATGCTAATTAATTAGTACAGACGGTATTTTAAGTTACGAAATTAGATACAAAAATTTACTTTCTCTGAATAAACATACCAATTTTGCAACGGATTCGGATTTCTGACCCCAAAAATATAGCCACAATCTGGGAAATATGGTACCCATAGTTAGGTCAAGAGAACGGACTCCTTAATGTTAATTTTACTTTTTGATTATTTCTCCATATCTCGAGAACTTTTTAAGCTAATTGAAAGATTTTTATACACACTTGTAAAATTCGTTTATCCAAGTAGTATTTGTTCTTCCGTTATTTGAATTACAAGGTACACAATTTTATGCTTCATTTTTAAAGTATATAATTTTATATGGTAAAATACAAAATTTGAGCGAAATCGGTTGAATAGTTCCTGAGAAATCAAATTTTAAACATTCAAAATCTTTAAAATTTATTCTTTGCATGAAATTATCTTTGGATAAACGAATTTTATAATCGTGTGCAAAAAATTTCAATTCGCTTGAAAAAATCTCGAGATATAGCGAAATGTACGCAAAAAGGAAAATTAACATAATGGGATCCAAACTATGGATCGCTTTCCTGACTAAACTTTTGGAACCATATTTCCCAGATAGAGGCTACCCCTTATATTTTTGGGGTCAGAAATTCAAATCCGTTAAAATAAAGCATATTTATTCAGAGAGAGTACGTTTTTGGATCTGATTTTGAAACTTAAAATATCGTCTGCACTAATTAATTAGCATATTTTAGAACACCTCCTCGTACCATTAAGAATGAGTTCTACAAAAGTTATTCAGGTTAGTTCATTATTTATTTATTTTTTTTGGTACACTGTACATTAAGATTTAATGTAAAGCATAGTTTCTCGTTTTATCTATCACTTTTGATTTTATGAAGATAAATCAAGAGAATATTTAACGTAGAATACGCATTTTTCATTATAAATATTTAATGTCTTTGTTTCACAAGGAACTAATTAAGTACGTAGGTGATTTCAAGATTACTTTGTTTTTTAATATTCAAAAAATTTAAAACTTCTGAAACTTCTGAACTTCAGTAAGTCAATTAGACATATCATTTAACTGTTGGGAAAAAACCCAAAGTTTTAGAACAAAATTTCCACTTTAGTTTTTATTTTACTAAACCTTTGAAAATGACCATACAAATTGATGGTTATGCTGTATCTATTAGTGAAGTCGTTGACGTGTTTTGAAACTTGAGTAATGACTTGCCTTGGCAGAGATAGGCGCTGCGGGTCATGTTTTTCAGTAGCATAGCAAATCTGAAGATATAAATCAAGAAAAATACCAATAACGTCAGTCATTTTTAAACAATGAAGAAAAGGAAAATTTTAAAATCAAATACATCTTGCTTTTTACTAATAGATGTTCTTCATTAAACTAATCTATTTGCTTTAGGAACAACACAAATAATAACTATTTACAGCTGTCTCTCAGACAAAAATTGTTGTGATATGATGGAAATAAGGAACAATGCAAACCAACAATCATATACACAAACAATTTATATCGAAAGAGAGGTTCATAATTACGTTTTCCCATTCATAACATTGCTTAAATATCATACGCTTTCAACTGTCTAAAACTAAAATCGATACAGATTTCCCTAAAATATATGAAAATATGTTTGTTGTAATGATTGTATTACATATCGCACAAAAGAAACAGTAGCTTCTTTCCCTCCATATTTGCAGAATTGATTCGAAAATTGTTTTTAAAATGAAGGATCTTAAAATATAACTAAGCCAGTAATAGCTCACTTATTACGATGTTTACAAAACATTTGTGCTGGTTAATGGAGTAATATAACGAAAATGCTTAGAATAATGCAGAGATAACTAGGTCTGGTGAGTTTATACGAGAGAAAAGGACTTGTGTAGAAAATTAAAATAATACTCAAGATAAGTTAACTTTTGGAAAAATCAGAATATTGCAAAAATGCCGACGTATAGGATACGATACGCAGCGGTGAGTTAAAAAATTTAAACCAACAAATAATGCTTAATAATTATTATTCGGACATTTTAATAAACTCATAGTCCCGGTAGCAGAATTTAAAGAGCATCTGCAAATCTTCAAAAATTCAAATTTGTCCCCGACTTCAACGCTCTGTAAAACTTACTATACTTACTATTACTGTAAAAATTAAGCTTAATATAACACGCATTTAACAATATTTGCAAACATTAAACATAGCCGTGATGGCTCAGGGGATAGAGCGCTCGTCTTTCAATGAGGTGAACCGGTTGCAAATCCCAGCGATGGTTGGTCGATACGAATTCCGCATCCGGCTTGCACCGACCATAGTACTGACGTAAAGTGGTAGACGGACCATGGGTTAGAGTCCCCTTACTGCCAGGATAACCGTGGGAGGTTTTCGTGTTTTTCCTCTTCATGTAACGCAAATGCGGGTTAGCTCCATCAAAATGTCCTCCACGAAGGCAAAATTTATTCCACTACTCGATCCAGGAGTTCCCTTGCCTTCTGGATTGGGTTCAAAATTACAAGACTACGGAGTTGAGTATAAGTAGTCGTAAACCCGAAAATTACGTTGGTTGTTCAACGACGGTTATAAAATAAAATAAAAAAATATTAAATATAATAAAAAATATTAAATATAATTAAAAAATATTAAATATAATAAAAAAATATTAAATATAATAAAATTATGCACAAAAACTTTATGTTTAAATTTAATTTGAATTTTATACAATCATACTTGAGCTATTTCGAAAAAGATGTTTAAACTAAGCCACTATGTTGTTTAATCTAAGCTCAATGAAATCAGAGAAAAAGAATGCACTTGCAAACGAAATTAAAAGAATGCCTATTGATTTTAAAGGAAGAAAATTGACAGAATTGTAGTTTCTGGTGTTCTGATGAGTGCTTATTTAAATTTTCTTTAAGTACTTTACAGTAAAATAAAACAATAACCCAAAAAAAATAAACATAGTCTTTTTTTCGGTATTAAATTTAGAAAAGGAAGAAAAACTATTCTTTATTTTTCATAAATAAAGATAGGAGAATCTTTCTTTTTTCATTTTATTCTCTTATTCTCGATTTTTTGCGCTACAATTTTTTTATCCGTTTGTTCTTTTTTTATATTTATTGGGAAATACGCTGCAGATGTTACGATAATCTGCAGCATTTGTTGCCGTGCTTCCGTAAAAGTTAAACAGAAATTCAAGTATAAATTAAATATTTCAACGGAAGTTTACGAAAAACCTTTAGAAATTGATAATTACAGTGGAGCATCGTTTATACGACGATCACTTATACGACGTTTACATTTATACGACGTTTTAGTGTGGTCCCAAATCATTCCTATTCATTTTAATGTAAAAATATATCGTTTATACGACGCACAGAATCGGTTATACGTCGGTTTTTAGATTTTGTTCACGTTTATTTAATTTTTTATTTTTTCTTGTGTATTTTAAAAAAGGGCGCAATTTGCCAACATAAATGATACAGAAAAGGGTGCCAGCAAGAATGCTTGGATAACGACCGTAATTTTTACTAGATGACTGAAAAAACTGGACAATGTTATGAAGAGGCAAAAATGAAAAATTTTGCTATTCTTCGACCATGTCCAGCGCACCCATCGATACTAATTATTTTGGAAAATGTAAAAGCTCTCTTTTTTCCTGCAAATTGTACAAGTGCGCTTCAGCCATTAGATTTGACCGTGATTAGAAATCTAAAATTGCATCATAGAAAGCAGTAAGTTCAACTCGCTATTCAAAGCAATGTAGAGAATAAGAGCAAGAAAATATAATTCGAGGTAACATAGATTCAAATTGCTCACTGCAGTCTTTCTTCTTTGGTTATTTGTTTGTTTTGCTTTGTCTAATTTAGAAATTTATGTAAATCAACACGTTAAACATCAAAATTAACTGAAAACAGAGTCAGTTTCTGTTTTAGAAGTAAAAATCGATTATACGACGTTATCGTTTATACGACGTTTTTCGGTGGTCCCTTCGGCGTCGTATAAACGATGCTCCACTGATGTACGTTAACAACACATCACTTCGGACTATTATCGATAACCAAAAATTATGTAGAAAAATAACAAAATTTTACAATAAAATCTGCAGAAATTGGTAGCTAAGAAATGGGTTAAAAACATACAATTTCCAACCGTTACCGGCAACAAGAAGTGTAGTGGGAGATTGGCAACTTCTCATTAGGAGGTAATTTTCAAAATCAAATTTAAAAACTGAAGAATAAAATAAAAGTATAAATTAAATATTTAAACGAAAGTTTACGAAAAACCTTTAGAAATTGATAATTATGTACGTTAACAACACATCACTTCGGACTATTATCGATAACCGAAAATTATGTAGAAAAATAACAAATTTTACAACAAAATCTGTAGAAATTGGTAGCTAAGAAATACGCTATAAACATATAATTTCCAACCATAACCGGAAGCAAGAAATGTAGAAATTGGCAAATTCTCATTAGGAGGTAATTTTCAAAATCAAATTTAAAAGATGAAGAATAAAATGATAGTATAAATTAAATATTTAAACGAAAGTTTACGAAAGTCTTTAGAAATTTATAACTATGTATGTTAACAACTCACCATTTTGGACCATAATCGAAAACCAAAAATTATGTAGAAAAAAAGCAAAATTTTTCAATAAAATCTGTAGAAAATTAGCAGCTAAAAAATGGGTTATAAACATACAATTTCCAACGATAACCGGAAACAAGAAGTGTAGTGGGAAATTAGCAAATTCTCATTAGGAGGTAATTTTCAAAGTCAAATTTAGAAGATGAAGAATAAATTAAATATTTTAACGAAAGTTTTCGAAAAACCTTTAGAAATTTATAACTATGTACGTTAACAACACACCATTTCGGACCATAATCGAAAACCAAAAATTATGTAGAAAAATAGCAAAATTTTACAATAAAATCTGTAGAAATTGGTAGCTAAATGGGTTAAAAACATACAATTTCCAACCATAACTGGAAACTAAAAGTGAACTGGACATAATTTTTAAAATTAAATTTATAAAGGCAAAATATTAAAAGGCTTACATTTTGATACTACTTTAAATATAACAAAATTTTACTAAATATTTGCAAAACTGGTAGTGATAAAATGGGTTAGAATTATCTTTTGGAATTATAATTGTAAGCTAGAAATGATGAAATGATGCGGCAAAATAGTAACTTCCAAAAAGAATATAACTTTCCAATTTACCAAGTATTTGCTCCAAATATTATTCATTCAAACGCTTTATTTAAAAAGTCTAAGTTTTTGCTCTAATAATTATAATTATGTTTATTTATTTTATTTATAATTTCGTAGTAGAATTTATAATTATAATTGTCATTATGCTTATTTATTTCACTTATAATTTTGTAGTGGAACCCATGGGTTGTAATGGAACCCATTTTTTTGAATTATAATTGCAAGCTAGAAATGATGAAATGATGTGGGAAAATAATAACTTCCAAAAAGAATATAACTTTCCAATTTACCAAATATTTGTTCCAAATATTATTTATTAAAACGCTTTATTTAAAAAGTCTAAGTTTTTGTTTTAATAATTATAATTGTTATTATGTTTATTTATTTCATTTATAATTTTGTAGTGGAACCCATGGGTTGTAATGGAACCCATTGTTTTGAATTATAATTGTAAGCTAGAAATGATGAAATGATGTGGGAAAATAGTAACTTCCAAAAAGATTATAACTTTCCAATTTACCAAATATTTGTTCCAAATATTATTTATTAAAACGCTTTATTTAAAAAGTCTAAGTTTTTGTTTAAATAATTATTATTGCTAATATGTTTATTTACTTTATTTATAATTTTGTAGTGGAACCCATGGGTTGTAGTGGAACCCATTTTTTTAAAATTATAATGCAAGCTAGAAATGATGAAATGATGTGGCAAAATAGTAACTTACGAAAAGAATAAAACTTTCCAATTTACCAAATATTTGCTCCAAATATTTGGTATAGTTCATTCAAATGCTTTATTTAAAAATTCTAAGTTTTTGTTTTAATAATCATAATTGTTATTATGTTTATTTATTTTATTTATAATTTTGTAGTGGAATCCATGGGTTTTGATCAACGCAGAAGGAAACAAATCTCGAGTGAAGGGTGTTGTTCCCGAACTATATAACACTATGAGAAATTTCATGGATTTCGAGTTTGTATTAATACATTTGTGCTTAGATTTTAACTAACAACAGTATAATATTGAAGATTGCATTTAAAGTATCACAATGAAGTACTTAGAAAAAAACTGTTAAAATCGTCTTTATTTTAACATTACGGACTAAATTTGTTTAGTATCATAAGATTTGTTGCCTTTAATATAAAATTTTGTTGATTTGTTTTATAGGTTACGGTCTTTCTTACCAGAGGATGCATTCGTCAAATTTCACCGAGACTAGAAATGCATTTTAACCTTCGTAAAAATTCTTCCTTTGTAAAAAATATTCCTTAAAAGAAATAAAACTATTTGCTTTCTGCAATCAGTACTAATTTTGCGCAGTCAACGCTAAATCCCTGCTTTTTGTTTCAGGAATGTGGTAATAAATAGAGCAAAAAGATAACCCAAAAGTATTAAACTATTTGCTTTCTGCAATCAGTACTAATTTTACTCAGTCAGCGCTAAATCCCTGCTTTTTGTTTCTGGAATGTGGTAATAAATGGAGCAAAAAGATACCCCAAAAGTATACAGCTATTTGCTTTCTGCAATCAGTACTAATTTTGCGCAGTCAACGCTAAATCCTTGCTTTTTGTTTCTGGAATGTGGTAATAAATGGAGCAAAAAGATACCCCAAAAGTATAAAGCTATTTGCTTTCTGCAATCAGTTCTAATTTTGCGCAGTCAACGCTAAATCCTTGCTTTTTGTTTCTGGAATGTGGTAATAAATGGAGCAAAAAGATATCCCAAAAGTATAAAGCTATATGTTTTCTGCAATCAGTACTAATTTTGCGCAGTCAACGCTAAATCCCTGCTTTTTGTTTCTGGAATGCGGTAATAAATGGAGCTATAAAATATTTAAGAAACGATTTAAAGGCTCCATAGGTTGAGTTATAGTGCTCTACTTCCACTTTCGTTAACATATATATATATATA